AGCGTGAAAGCGTGAAACATATTGAATCAATGAATGCATTCATGACCTAGGGGCTTATGTGTCGTACGAATCAGTGTGAATCACTGCAAATCTCACGAGTCATTTTAAAAGATATAGGCAACTGCACGAATCTTACGAGTTTATATGAAGATTCGCAAGTCCTTTACGAGTCTCTCATATAAATTGGCGAATCACTGAACGAAACTATGAAATGTCAACTAGCATGTCAGTTAAACTCACAATTCACTCAATAATCGACTATTAGATCAACTTTTTGTTATTAAAAACATTGATTTTCTCATATTGTGATTGCAAAAAAATTAAAATACAATTTGAAAATGGTATGGTATTATATACTTCTGACTTTTATTATTGGTTGAATTCAAAATGTTGTTTTATTTTGTTTTTAAGGCAGAAGACAATGTGTTTGATGTTTTGAACGATGTTTTGGGTGTTAAAATCCCCGGAATCCTTATAAATATTTTGAAGGAATCAGGCTTTACTTGTCGATCAACTTTGGCTCTTATCAACTTAGAAAATGTTGCAGAAATTGAGGAATTCATAAACGAAAATCGTGAAGTATTAGTTGGATCTATTTACGAACAAACGAATCCATTTAAATTTTTGCCAGCGCATCGAATTTTAATACGAAATTTGTCAAATTATATGGGTCAACTAAAAAATCGTGAATTAAATGTTGAACACAAAATGGACCTATCACAATTCCCGTATCTACTCAAATGCTTCATTGAAACAGCTCAAGCCCATGCAAATAAAAGTGTCAAGGCATTTCGTTACACTGAACATATCCAGTCATTCTCCACTTATATTTATATGATGTGTGGTAAATCATGCTACGAATCTTTAAGCGCTAACTTGCCCATTCCGAAAGCAAGTACAGTTCGTAAGTTCTGCATTTTTTTCATAGAACTTGGTTCTATTGTTGATTTGATCACTAGATTCCATTTTCAATTCACATCCATTCCAGTTGGCTATATTAATCAGAACAAGCAAAAAATTATCGAAGGCGAGCTAAGATCCAAACAGCTAAACGAGTATTTGGAGTGCTTACAACTCAAAAAATGGGTATGGCTCAGTGAAGACGCTACCGGGATAGTTTCGAAGATCGAATATGATCCATCAACCAATCAAATAGTTGGACTGGTACTTCCGTTTGATTCAGAAACAGGAATTCCAATTTCTTTCTCGTTTATGGCTGAGTCTGCTGCTGATATTCAGAAATTTGTGAAAATGAAAGCATCCAAACATTTATATTTAGTTTTAGCGCAACCGCTTATGGCAAAGGTACCTCCATTTGTTTTACAACTGTTTGGCTCCGATAATACATTTACTGCTGTTGATGTACAGCGACGATGGAAACATGCAATTGCAGAATTGCAGAAGTAAATATTTCCGAAAAACGACCACTCATGCCAAAATATACAATTTGAATTAATTTTGGATATCAATCATTTTTATAGGTATGGAATTTCAATTGCCGGAATTTCCTCCGACGGCGACTCGCGATTAATAAATTGCATGCTTTACAATAGCCCCATTGAAACTCACCTGAACAGCAAAGAAGATTGGGAATCATATGATATATTGAAATTTCTGCACTATATTCAAGATATTATTCACTGCATACTCAAGCTCAAAAATCGTTTTCTAAAGGCGGGCATAGTACTGCCGTTTGGTAATAGATTGGTGTCCGTCGCACATTTGAAAATGTTGATAAATAACGTATCGAAAGATGAACATAGCCTTGTGTTGAAAGACATATGCACCGATGATAAGCAAAACTACCGAGCACTAGAAAAAATAATGCATCCTAATGTTTCAAACGCTTTAGCTAAGCATGTCATCAACAGTGAAGCAACGGTAATGTACATTAGAATTTGCTCGGATGTTGCTTCAAGTTTTCGTGAGGTCGAATTATCACCTTTAGAGAGAGTTCATAAAATTTTTCACGCTGCATTTTTACTTCGCATCTGGAAGAAGTGGATTGGATGCTCAGGTGGAACATTTAATGTGAAGGAAAACTTTGTTACTGAAAATGCTTACCAATGCATTGAAATAAATGCTCATAATTTAGTTTCGGTGATAAAAATGTTTCGAGATAAACATTTGGAAGAGTTGTTCATTCCAATTCTGATGAGTAGCCAACCATGCGAAGAAACATTTCGAACGCTGCGGTCTATGGGAACGATCAATTATACAAAAATCAATTTTACGTTGTTGGAAGTTATTCATATGATTTCTCGAGTCGAACTGCTGAATAACATAGTTTATTTCAAACTAGCTGACTCAGAGATATCGCTGCCACGAAATAAAATTAATAATGCGAGTCTAAATTCAATCAAACTTCCATCTGATTCAGAAATTGAAAAAGCAATTGTTGGGGCTAAAAAAGAAGCAATAGCAAATGCAAAGAAGTTTGGAATGGAAACATATGATAGCGATATTGACATGGCATTGATCAATCGGCCTGATATATTTAATCCTACTCACCCCAGAAAACGAAAACATTTGAATGAGTCTGATAGTGAGTCCGATGTCGACACTGAGAACCCCATTTCATCAACATATTCAGCAACTAAATCGTATGCACACGAGCACTCGGAAGTTGAGTCAAGCCCGTACGTTCGAATCAGTGACCACAATGGAGAAGACAAAACCATTAGAAAGTCAACATTAATTTGGCTCTTGACCGATTCCGCAAAAAAATTAAGTAATGACCGATTGACAAGAGTGCAAGGTCCAGCAAAGAAAAAGTCATGTGCTCGCCGACTTAATTTTAGCGCTCCGGAAAATCCAGATATGTGTCTCATTGAAAATAGTGAGATTAAGATCGGAGATTGGTGTATTTTTGATTGTCCCGAGCAAAATGGCACAAACATGGGGAATCAGCTGGTCTTAGGAAATATTTTAGCCTTTCAATACATCAAGGGAAAAACGCACCGTGAAAAAAAGTACACTTGGGATTACGCACCCATTACATTCGAAGAAAACGACGATAGAAAAGCGCGAGGCATCGAAGTTCTGGCTACGTGGTTCAACATAGACTCCAACGGCAATGTATTAAGAACGGAGAGCAACCAAAGTTCCTATTTTAATATCGATTTTTATAAAGCAACTCTCTCGAACCCGCCCATCATAAATGAACAACTTTCTTTATTGAAATTTAAGACAGACTTATCGAAATATCTCTAATGTTTGTTATGCTGACTGTAATGCAAGAATATAATGGTCTCTTTGAAGAAATAAATTTCATGCATCTTATTTTGTTTTGAAACGTATTACATAAGTTGAAATGTATTTCAGTGGTTGTTTGTTTTTGCAGTTTGGCATAATTTTCACTTATTTCATAACATATATGGTCATTCGACTTCAAAATATAAAGTTTCTTTTCTAATTGAGTAGAATACTGATAATATGAACCTTATTCTATACGTTATTTCTGTTGAAACTTATGCTTTATGAATAGAAAAATAATGCTTCGGTGAACACTTGTGGGATTTTTTGTAAACTAGGTAACATTTTGTTTTGATAACTTGCACTTTGGTAGAAAAATCACAGTTTTGTATGAAAAAAAATTAATCCTAAACAAAAAACGTCAAATGTAAAATCAGTCAGGAAGCATGATTGCGTGATCGCAGAGTATTCAGTGTTGCCTGTTGCTATCCTATTTTTTCTCTTGGCATAACTTGGTGATGTAGCCTTCAAACTTGTCCATTCGATCCATATCACCTTTGCAACGAATTCCGAATAAGGCTGAAAATTAAACGTGTTTGGAAATTAGAACTGTACAACAACAATGGTTGCTTACACTTATATTTAATCACTCACCTTGAATGAATTGTTTCTCTTCATCAGAAACATTTGAACTTGCCAACCGATCTTCTGGCACCAATGCCATTAAGAGTGCACGTGTAAAACGTTCATCGTAATAGCGATCTGTGTCACGTGGTGGCTTGTTCCACTGCAACAACTTAACGATGAGACCATGCGGAAATTCAGTTAGATTGTCCCCAATTTTATAGACACGAGCCTTTTCCTTCTGCATTAGAAATAATTGCCTTAATAACAAATGATGAAAAAAAAACATAACCCATTTATGCCTATACTTACGGTTTCATAATATGGTTCTGGGCCGGATATTTCATCATTCTCTCGTTTGATGCGTTTGTCCTTCATCAAAATCATTGGCTTCGCAAAACCTTTGGATCCGACAGTCATTTCAAATACTTCACCCTCGAAGCTGAGGAGCTCAACGTCATTATCTTCATCGATCAAATTCAAAATGTCATTGTTGTTAGCTACGCGCAATCCCAATTGTGAGACGTTTGGCTTCTGTTCGATTTCATCGGCTTGAGAATTCGTCGTTTCTTGTTCTGGCTCTGGCTCGGATTGTAACGGGTCAACTGCTGATGCGTTGCCATTTGGTGTTGTTGAAGATTCAGCAGCCAAATCTGTTTCGATGGGACCATTATCATCGGCATGAGAGTCCATTTCTTCGATTACTTCTTGATGTGTTACAGGAATCGGCATTTCAACTAAACGAGCCTCGTTGTAAATTGCTGGCGCAATGTTTCGATGTTTTTCCATATACTTGACCGCATCACCATATGACACTATAATGAAGAACAAGAATGTTGCAATCGAAATTTTCTTTTTTGAAAATGCTGGTTGGTACAAACAAAACTTACCTTTGAAATGTTTCAATTTTGCAATGAAACATCCTGGTCCATCAAAATCGGTGCGAGACTGCAGATCAAAATTTGCTGGATAATCCATTTTCGGTGCGCCGTTTTCTTCGAATGCTTCCTCATCGTTGGTGTAGAAACATAAGAAACTTTGTGCGGTGTTCAGGCTTAGATTAATGAATTTTTCAATATGATCATCGATATCACGAACCCAAGTTGATGGCAAAATCAAAGTTGTGTTTAGATCAACAATATACACAACGAAATACATTTTGGAATTGGACGATGTTATCACAATAAATATCACTGTTTGTTTTTTCAAATATGAATGTTGAGTTCTTGATAATGTTTCTGCGAGTCCAATCGTTTATTAAATGTGACGATTAATTGCACACACAAATAGTCTCAACCACAAATATGTATAACATTTAATGCTCCTGTGGTGAATTGTCGTCTGAATCGTTCAAATAGTCCATTAACTTTTGCTCTTGTTGTTCATTCAAGCGAACCACTTGATCACTGACGATTGTTTCAGTTGAATCTTCAACCAATTCCACTTCTTCGTAAACAAAATGGCGTTTTTTTATATGCCGTATGAGATTGCTTATATTCCAGTAAGATGTATGTATACAGCTCAGTTTATCGTTGCAGAATGGACACTTGACTTTACATTTATGCTGAATTCCATCGAATTGAAGTTCAAATATATCGTTGTCAACACATCCAAGTTGAAGACCAAATTTTCTGCCGTACTCTTCAACTTTGCGAACTAATTTCGTTTTCAGTTCAAGCTCACGCACCAATTCGATCGCTTCACTTTCCGTCAATTTGCTTTTTTTCGATTTTTTTCCTTTGGTGTTTAAATATTTCGGAATACTGAGTATTAAATGCTTGTGTCCGGGCAAAAATTTGAAGGTTTCGATGTTTTGATATTGCGTGCCTTCCAAAATATTAGCTAATTTCACTCTGTTGGATTGCACAAACTCTTCGATATCGTTTAAACTTTCTTTGTCCAAAAGTTTTAAACTACTTTCACAGCAGAACGCGTTTGCAATAAGAATGGATTTAATGACTTCTGGAATTTTTCCTGTTGCGCGTTCAATTTTTTTGAATATAGATTCCTAAAAATAACAATGAACACAAAATAGTTTTACGTTTGTCGGTAAAATTTAATGGAACAACTAACCATGACAGCTCAAATCCGTTGACATATTTGAAATACGAAACTGAATGGTTTGCAATCCAAATAAACGTCAACATCAGCTGATCCGCGTTGACTCGCAGATTCGATATAAATGCCACATACTTTCTGTGCTAAGACTTGTGCATGTATTAGTATGAATCTGTTCGCGTTTTCACGAATCGCTGTGATTTGACGCGAGTCAGTGCGAGTCCGTGCGGTTCAATGCGTTTCAGTGCATCTCTTTTTTAATCTGCGTGGAAATATTGCGAGTCTTGCTGACTCGTGACGACAAATAAGCCCCTAGTTCATGACCATCAGAATATGTTTCACGCTGAAGAATACACCGAATATACACTAGAATATATATTGAATTCGGCGTCCAATAAGCGTGAATATATATTGTAGTCTCTTGAGTCGTTATTCGATAAGGTTAATTCTTTTATCACATGTTTTTGTTTGTATATTCGCTGCTGTGTGGTTTCGATTCCCTCTTTAATGTATGATTTGTGGAATTTCGACTTCGCTCTTTGGTTTGTGTTATATCAGGATCACAGCCCGTCAGTCATCATTAAGGCCCATCCCTTGACGCTGTCTCCAACTATTAAGACAAAAAAATGTCCTAAGCTTTTTGAAATAAATGGGATAAAAAATGACAACCTGGGTTTGCACTTTCTTTATGTTTGAACCGATCAAAAGACAGCACCAAGAAAACTTCATCTTAGCCTTCCATTACCGAGTCCATCACTCTATATTTTCGTCCATGAACTGAAGACTTCATCTGGCAGATTGATGAGTTTTCTCTTGAAGTCATGGTGTGGCAGAGTGGGGTCAATGCGAAGAAGATTGAATACGTGGCAGGCGACATTGAATGGTTGGAGATATGAGTAGTCATGACTACGTGTTCTTAATTTGACAAACTCTGGATTTCTGAGACACTTGGTCCCTGGGTTTAATTTCATTTTGTTTCTCAGATTTGGTGCCTGATTCATTGTATCTCCCAGTGTATGGTCTCAGTACATAGTTGTTTTCCTCTCGGTGTTGGTGATCTCCATTGAAGAAGATCAACATTTCTTTTTGTGTACTTTCAACGATTTTGCGATACTCAAAGGTGTTTGGCGACCATAATGTTGATACAAATTCGAGGACCGATCTGACCAAAGAACTGTATAATATTTGAATGGTGTCCCGATCAAAGTGGTGAGACTGTCGCTCGTGAAATTCACTCTCTTTTTCAACTATACCGAAAACATAGAAATAATTGAGAAAAAAAAACAGTTGTTCCACTCACGCCAACAAATTGATCACTGATTTACATGAGAAAGAAAATTCAATTTCATTAACACTCAAAAGCTAAACTTCTTTTTTTGGCAAGGCTGCGCATTTGTGTTGATATGCGATGGCTTTTGTGTGCGTGAGAGTTGTGTGTGCGGCAGTTGTGTGTGTGTTGATGTATCGAGTCGCGAGATATGGTTGCCTTTTAGGCTGAGCATTGAATATGCTTGCTGCATATCAATACAAATGCACAGCCTGGTTTTTTGCTGTCTAGAAAAATATTCAAAGTGAAAGTGAAAATGAAAACTCACCCAAAATTCATCAAGTGGGATATCCCAATCACCGCAGTGTCTTAAAATATGAGGCAGACTAAATAAAAACAATTCTAATGCTCGACTCAATTGAAACAGCGGAAAATTTCATCTTTCCACTTGATTTTATTCAAGTGCAAGTAATCATCTGTGATAAAAATGTTCTGAATTCATTCAAACTTGAACATCAATCACTAATAATGATGTATTTTAATATAGATTCTTCTTCGACACAAGTCAAATCGTTGGTAAAAACGTTACATTGCAAAGATCAGCCGATTTTTACTGCTCACACATCTTAAACGTTCGACTTCACGATGACACCATTATCGGTTTGTTGTCATTAATTTATCGCTTTCTCTTCGATTCAATTTCGCTGTGAGCGTGACGCGAATACAAATAAAATGCAGACTAAAACCACGTATGAATGCTAAGCATTCACTAAGTAGCGCGTCAATGCGAAAATACATGCAAACAACGTTAAACTGGATTTGCTTGATTGTTAATCTGCGAATACATGCTAACAACTCCAACAATACTATACAGCACCTCAACATGTACTAGTAATTGCTATATGCTCAGTGAAATTGTTTACAATTAACACATTCACTTCAATGTGATTATCAACTAACACAGCATTACAATTATAACTCACACAGGTTACAACCTTGTACATGCGATAAAGAGTCGGCTTTTCGTGCGATTATCACTACGGCGATTTGTTTATACTTTCTGTTAATAACAATTTTTCGCACAGCGATACTGTGATCAAATAGTATTGCGCTTACTTTTGACGTGAGAACAGTGTTTTATATACAGTGTGTGGAATGTGGATTGATACGAATTTTTGATTAAATTCTGAGAAAAATGGAACTATTTTCAACTTGAGAACGATTTTTTATCGAGTGCTGAAAATGTGAACGAAATAATTTTTGATTGATCATATCGGAGTAAAATGAATGAAAATCGAGTTGAAAAAGTGAAAAATTCGCTGCAATTTGGATTACTGATTGACATGAACTTCTGAATTTACTACAGACTTCAGACTCAAAAAAAAAATCACGCAATTGTTTTATTGATGTCGGTTCACTTAGCGCGGCATAATAAATATTGATAATTTACAAGACAGTGAAGGAACGAGAATGAACGAGTATGAGTTTTTGAGTTTGTGAGTGCGCTAGTGTGTGTGTGCGTTTAGCTTGATCAAAGTATCGTGTTACACTTATTTCTATGAACTTTTGAAATTTTTCGTTGTCTTTTAAAAACTTCGTGTATTTACGCGCATTGCTCAACAAAGTTAATCCACAAAACCAATTCAATGGTTCAAAAGTTATTCACATAAAAATTTGACTTTCATCGAATTTTATTTTTTTTTTTAAATCATTTACAATTATAAATTGTCAATTAGCTGACCTTCATCGATCGAATCTCTCATTTGGTTGAAATTATGTCGACAACCGCGAACAACGTTAGTTTCAGAGAAGGTTGTCAAGCAGCTAGTGTATTTGCAATGGCGGGCCAATTTTTTATGCTTGTTGAACGTGCACCATTGCCGATTTACTTTCACCTGTTTATCTGTGAGTTTGACACCGATATTTTAAGCAATTATGTTCGTCTGGGCCGGTTTTATAAACGCTAATCGATCAAAACCGTTTTTTTTTGCAGGCGCAAATCTACTAGCACATTTTACTTGGCTCTACGGATCATTTAACGTAGGATGATTTTTTTATTTCAAAGTATTTTCTTGATTCCAAAGAAGTTTTTATTCAATTCATAAGAAGTTTTTCATTAAATTTGTTATTGTATACATATTGTTAGCTCTATAGAGCTGAACTAATTCTTTCGGTATAGTTGAGTTTAAATGAGTTACACTTTGGTCCATTTTTGTGTCGAAAAATTTAAAAACGCACTTCATGTGCGAATATTTATGAGTTAAATGTTTTTTTTTAATTGTTACCATTTCACCAACAGTACAAAAAGGGCATCATGGTGATACCATTGATTTGGTTTATCATCACGGAATTTGCCTGGATCGTGATTTTTTATCAACTGTATACGAATTCGGCGGGCAAAGTATTCATTTTCATTGCATGCTTTATGACGGGATTTTTCATATTTGCTGCTTTGGGCACACATGCAACGATCAAACGAACGGCCGACGAAAGCAGTACAAATGAACAAACAACGAATGAGGCTCCCAATAGAAGTAATCTGGAAAGTGATCGTTTGAATGTGTAAAATCAAATGTTTGGAATTTAATTTGTGGAAAGAAAAGAATTCATCTGAGACCATCAGGAGGAGGAAGAATTCAAGGTTTTTTTTCAAGTGTATTTAAGATTTTATTTTGTTTCTTTATTTTAAGACATGCATATTGTATTGTTTAATTTGTTCAACAAATTTTGTTGAAAATGTGTAATTTACTAAAGATTAAACACAATATTTTTTAAAATAAATTCAGTGTAATCTCGTCATTTTGGGGAGGTGTTTTGAACCAATTAATATACAACAAAAATTTTTACAGTATATACTTACTGTATTCACAAGGGGAAAAACAAATTTGTCGCCGTAAAATTGAGTTCAATTGCGATGTTATTGCGTTAAATGCCATGTTTAGCCTTGACAATTTATTTTAATAATTTTTGTTTATTTCTCACCACTAATCACTAATCGACATTTTTCATTTTCAAGAAATTATTGAATTTACTGGTCGGATATAATATGATCAAAAATACAGGGTGACGCACTCGAAGCGTAACTAATACCAAAGACTATAACTTTTTTGTTTTTTTATTGTTCTTAAGGCATGAAATTTTGTAAAATGATTAAAAAATTTGAATCAGCTTCCAGATTTCAATATCACTTGCATTGGATCCAGTGCAACTGAAAATAAAATCTGGAAGCTGATTCCGAATTTTGTATCATTTTGCAACATTTCGTGCCTTTAGAGCAATAAAAAATATCAAAAAACAAATAAGTTATAGTCTTCTGTTTTAGTTACACTTCGAGTGCGCCACCCTGTACATTAAATAATTTAAAATGTTTTTTTTTTTTCAAATCTTCGATTGTTGATCTACGATGAAATTGAACAAATTCCGGAATCATATTTATAATCATTATTCACATATCTTTTCTGTAAGAGTCCTAAAATTGGCTTGATAATTAAAAGTAAAGCTCGGTTGCTATGCTGCTGGTGTGAGTAGAACTATCTTCATTTGGTGAAAGTTGGAACAACAATGAGTTTAATCTATACATAAAATTTGACATTCATTTTAATGAATAAATAAATATTATTGTGAGTATCACCTAGTTACTATATTTGTCCGATGTGAGAGTTTTGAACATCATGTTGAATGAATACACATATTGAATGAACTAAAGAAGCAGAAATGGAATTATAGTTATAGCATAGTTTCGAAACGAATTGCATAATCTGTATCGATCGAAGCTACTCACTTTGCAAAACGTTTCCAGTTTCAAAGTTATAATGCTAAATCCGTGGTAGTATAAAGGTTTTTGAATGTTCGCAATCATGAGGATGAAATATCTCTGCAGCTCAATGGGCAGTTCATGCCAATTCACCTCATAATACAAATAATTGGCCATTTTCTCAAAGCTCTCAGTAGCCACTTTGCCGAGATAACAGTAGAGAAATAATGTTGAAAAACCGATCAGAACGACTGACACAAGAATAGCAATATCGGGATCAATTTGTTTGACTCGCTGAAATGGATGAGCTTAGTCAATGTTTTGAATTAAGGCATACACAGAACATTCTTACCAATCCCGTTTGGAAAATGGTACAGGCCATCAGCAACATACTGCAAACTAGTTGAACTACGATTAACGGACTGAACACGTTAGCCGTGTCCATGAACCAACTGGAATTCAAAGAAAATAGCCCATTT